CTGTGCCCTGTTGCCCACCCCGCACCTTACTACCTAGCACCTTGCTGCCCTGCTACCCACCCCGCACCTTACTGCCCTGCTACTCACCCCGCACCTTGCTGCCCACCCAGCACCTTGCTGCCCACCCACCCAGCACCTTACTGCCCACCCATCCATGCCGCACCTTAGTGCCCTGCTGCCCGCGGGTGTGGACAGGGCAGAATCGGCGTCTCCGGATACAAGGAATAGTTGGAATGAGATCTCGGGAGTCGCCACCTCCGGTGTTGCGGTATCGGGTACAGAGTATCGGCGCTGCCATGGAGCTGGCTTGATTGTGAATGGCTGGGAACCAGGTTTCCTGGGCCAATCAGTAAGGAGCTGGCTCAGGAATCTGGGAGGCGGGTCATTAGTCGCTGCCCCGCCTCCTGATCACATGGGAAGCCGGCTCCATGTTCCCCTGAGGCACTCTGTCCGGAGGTTCCAGTATCGGTCTGTGCTACACAGTGCTTCTCATTGGTCACCGCAGTCACCTGACCAGGCTGACCAATGGGGGCCTGCAATTTGCGAGTAAAATTAGAAATGCATCGGTCAGGACTGCGCTGGACAGCGGTACGTGGTACAGATAGTACTGGGGGAGGGGAGGCACTGTTCCCCCGAAAGTTAAGTATAGCCGGGGGGGGGCTCGTGTGAGAGAGTTCTGCTGCCCAGCGACCACAATATGGCGCACAGGGGAATGGCGGCGACCCTCAGCGCACGCACACAATGTCCTACGCGTGCGTTTATTTTACATGCAGATGTCGGGGTCGCTTTTACTTTTTTACAATTGTTATGGAAATTCACTTGGTTCAACGCACAAATCCATGTCGCATTAAGCTGCGCCAAACGCAAAGAATTCCCCCCGTTGTACTACGCTCCTTTATGCAAGGACTGGAAGTATCTCCCTCTATAGAGTCAGGAGACAGATGTTGCTTGTTCGATAATCCCATGCTAAGAGAGCTGAGCGCAGGTATGTTTATTGTTTATACCTGCCCAACAGGAAGTGATGTCAGACAGGAAGGGGTGTCTCAAACAGCGAGACAGGAAGTGATGGAAAACCAACAGATGATTTCAACAACCAGCAAACCAGGAAGTGGGACAGACAGGAAGTGAACAGGAGCCAGCTAACAAATCACATGTAGTAACAATCAATCACATGTAGTGGAACAATCAATCACATGTAGTGGAACAATCAATCACATGTAGTAGAATACTCTCTGACCACCGGAGTGACTTTATCCCGCGTGGCTCAGTGAGCAATGCCACATAACGTTACTCGGATTCTCATGCGCGCTCATTCACAGGGACAACGTTATATCATCTCAGGCGTGTTGATCAGGCGCCCCAGAGAGAACAAACGCACGTTCCTTTCATATACTGCGTTCAAGACAAATGTATCCACGCAAGCCAATAAATCCATGCATTGCACGGGGGCCCCAGCCGGCGTCCATACATTCGCCAAGAAGACACAGCTCCGCTGCGCATAAGAAATCTCCAATGGATTAATCCCCCAGCGTCTATTTACCGAGACACTGAGAGACTGACAAAACATTACAATACACTAAAAACACATCCTAGTAAAATTTCCACAACACAATGTTATATATTTTATTATGTTTTACTTACCCCCCCCCACTTTTATTCCTATCACACGGAGGGGGGTTTGATAGTTTGCAGGTGACCGGTTCTCTTTATGGAACAGATGCAGTTGCTGGCGGTGGACATAGGGGGGCGCTGTGATTACATTGTGATTACAGCGCTCCACTCTCACTGATCACACAGAGCAGGCGACGTTCTTTCCTCTGCTCTACGGGCTCTATGGTGAGCTGATGTGCGTCACGGGTCCCCCAGTGTAGCGGGTAACCCCAAAAATGGGGTCAAGGGGGTCCCCGGACAGGATGCTCCTTTCATACAAGTGACCTGATCAGCCCCCCCCCACCCCAACGTACATTCAGCTCTGCTTGTTCGGAGCCGGGCTAAATGTACAAAAAACTACTCGCCTGGATGTCCCGGGTGTCGGGATAGGAATTCCTCACACCCCTGTTACTGACATGTGCCCTACCCACCCTGCACCATACTACCCACACCGTACTGCCCACCCC